CAAAGCTGACTCATAGGGCCCCTCGCTGTCGGAGTCTGGTGGCAGCTCCAACGGCTCCTGCTGGGCCACAACACATATCTACAGTGCTTCATTGATGATGTTGCTGATAGGATTTGCCCATGTGCTATTCATCATCTGAGGCTTATGGACTTTGGCTGCCCATCACCTACTTTGGTCAATTGAAATGTCCACATAATACATTTTAGTAAGATAGTAAGGTATATATTAGCTTAACTGTACCTATGCACATATACAATTATTAGTTTTGACATATTTTGGGCCAGGTCCAAACTCCAGTTGTATCAAGTATGCTCATGCTACTTTATTCAAGTGAGTAATCTTAGTTTAAAGACTATCTATGAGAGGGTGTCAAACTCAATTTCATTGAGGGCGGCATCAGGGCTGTGGTTTACCTCTGGAGGTTAGGTGAGCATGGCTGACTGGGTGGGTATGGCCAACTGCATGGGCGTGGCCAGCTTGACATCACTCACTGGGCATTGCCAACTGGGTATGTATGGCCAGCTTGACATCACTCCCCAAACTGTTGGCATGTTTCCTCTTTGCATTGGGTGGACTGTGCCAAAACGATGTGGGCTGGCTCCTTACATTTTCCAGGATGGCCCCATGGGCCGGATCCGACCACATCACAGGGCAGATCCAGCCTGCCGGCCTTGGGGTTGACACCCCTGATCTATGAAGTCAACATGTTAAAAATCAGATGTTTTGACATACACAGAACATTTTATTGAGATAAGCAGAGTTTAAGTCACATATTAGATGCCTGAATATTCCTAATATCTTTAACCATTAAGTCGACAGATCTGAAATCATGGGAGATAATAATTTTGAAGACGTTTTAAATAAAAGGCTATTAACAAACTACTAAAATATATGTATTTTAAAAAGATGCAGTTAAATCTCACTACAAACATACCACATCTACAGTCCCCTAGAGCCCCATAAAATAAATGGCTTTGGAAAACTGAGATTTAATCAAAGAAGGGTATTTTTTTATTTTTTTAGTCACATGGAAGATTGAAACAATATAATGCTAGAGAGTCAGAGGCAAACAAGAAATGAATGATGGCATATACACTCTTAATGTACTACTTCTGCAGCCTGAAAGAGTTATAATGTATTATTTCTTCAATTAATATCATTAATGATCCTATAAATTTAGACAAAATATAATTGTCCAAACAATATAACATGCTCCAAAGAGTCATTGGATTTGTATTGTTTAAGCAATATTCAAAGGATCATCTCAAACATTTTTTCTGACTAAATCATCTAATTATGATCATGACTGAATTAGATCATCATAAACCAGGGGGTTGTAGCCTACACATTATATGAGTAAATAATAATTAGCATTAATTCATTGTTTTCTTCTTAGATTTTTGCAAACCATTTTTAAAATCAGCTGGTAAAGTAGAATTATAAATATTCTTGGGTTACGAAGGTTGAAAGTAGAAATTTAAGGCACATTAGAAAACGCTCTGAAATTTCCCACCTTGTTCTTGCTAGGTTGTTAGCTATGATTCTTGAAAAGTTTATTAATAGATCACCTACGTCTGGTGGTGTAAATCATTTGCCAAAGGAGAAAAATGTGAGATATTTGCAAATATACTGCAAAATCCACCGTCATTTCCTTTGATGTGATAATTTATTTGCATGGAACTGTTGATAAACATCTGTCAAAAATCTATTTTTAAACAACAGGATACAGCAAGTGTGTGCTGATTGGTCACGACTGGGGTGGAATGATTGCTTGGCGAGTTGCTATTTGTT